TAATCAATGGATTTCTTCAAAAGCCCATAAATTGCATTTAAATGTGCTCGTGAAACTCTTGTATACTGTAAAATTTATTTTGGTTAGCTTTAATTATCTCATTCATTAATTAAAGGGAAATACATATTATTAATCTACTTGGTTCTATACATTTACAAATGTACACAGTTGTATATTAAGAATTTAATTTCTTAATAATAGGAAAAGTGTTAAAAATTAATATTTAATAATAATGGCACCTGGTGTCAAAACCTGAAGTATTCCTACAGAAAAAATTTCAGTCAAATGTAAATTGCTTTTCATTTGCTATATGAGATTTTTACATGTAGTAAATAATAAATTGCAATTTATTAAACAGAATGATTTAATGATTTGTAATTATGATTACAAATAATAATCATGCAATTATGATTAAAAATCATTAAATAATCCATAATTAAATGGAAATCATTAAATCATACATAATTAAATGGATTAATAAAATATGTAATTTAATGATTATTTAATAATAAAATGTAATTTATATTAAAGAGCATTATTTCAGTAAACAGGATTTTGACTTAAATGTTCACAAACTTCCCTTAGAAAAGGCTTTACTTATAAAATTACCCAGAAAAGCTACCTTATCTGAGAAGATTTTCAATAAATCTCTATCGATTTTGAGGGCGATCAGGCACAGTCCCTCATCTTCAGGAGTAAAACATTTTTGCGAACATCTCGCTATCTTAAAAATAGCTCTATAAGTCTAAACTGCGTCCTTCAAATTAATCATGCGATCTTACATAACACTTAATGTAGATGCCTCTTGCGAAATCAAAAAGATTGTAAATCAATAGCAATAATAATAAATAATTGTAAATCGAAACTTTTTCTAATTCAAACTGAAACTTTTGACTCCCTTCCTTCTTCCCCTGAATCCTTCTCGCTTTCATCCTAGCAAGACGCTGCTGCAATCATCTAGACTCGCTTCTATTGCCATTGTATCATGTATTGATTAGTGCTCCTAATCCCTGCTGATGAAAAGTCAATATGGCTGCTCTCTGTGTTATTTTCCCAACAGCAGTGGGATCAACAAGATTAATATTATCTCCTGCTTTCCAAAGTATGAAAAATGAGCTCTTGAATAATTTGACCAAGGACTCTTTTTATTGCTAGATTTTACTCAGATAAATACTACAAATGGAGGATGCAGAAATCAGTACTCCCAATAATCATAACTCATAGCAGCTGAAAGGAAACTGAATGTTACCTGCTATTGTTTTTGTGAGTCAAACAAACTTCGGATGGCAGTCATGGGTACAAAAGTCCACCTGTGGTTTCAAGGTCTATGCTAGAGTGTTGCACTGGCATGTAAATATTGTCATTTCAGTCTCTCTCCAACTGTTAATTGGTGAGAAATCTTGAACATGCATTGTGCAAAGCAGGAGTTGAACATCCTGTGTATAAAGAATATGTAGGGCAATGTGAGGAACAATTGGTTTGCCCATTGTTCTATTGAAAGGAGAGGGGACAGAAGCCCTGGATATATTCATAGCCATGGGCATTAAAACCTCAGTAATATGATAGTGACTGGTAAGAGTACCAGATATGCACACTACAGGTGAAACAGGATGTGCATCCAGTGCACCTCATACTGTTGCTGGGCCAGCATAATGATGAAAAATGCAAGCTTCGAATATGCATTCTCCACACATGGATATGACTATCATCAACAACATTCTAAAAGAAAAGTGGGACTTATTCGAAAAGGTGACATCACACTTTTCATGAACCTGTGTTTGGCGCTGAACACACCATCAAAGGCATTGATTCCTGTGTCAGAGTGTGAAAGAAAGCTGAAGTAATGCTCACTTTACAAATAATCTACAATGCTTCAGATGCCATTGAGCCATACTTGATGTTAAGCGATATATCCAGTTTCCTATAAAAAATTCCTAACAGTCATGTGGGCAAGATATCTGTCATTTGGGGCAATAGTGAGAGAAGACCAATGAGATTCTCAGGCCAATCTCTGTGGTTCTCCTGGAGTTATTAACTGCAAAGGCTAGCAAAAATCATTAGACCAAAATGATTAGCAGTTGGGATACACAGTAATTCACAATACTGAGTCCCCTTGCAACTGAATTCTGAGACATGTTAGTATGAATTGCTTCTTGTCTTATGAGACATTACATGACCCCCAACCTTCAAAATAACAAGTAAACATAATGTATGGATGAAAAACTGGCATTTTAGTCTGCCTTTTTAAATTACTTTGTAGTGTTATTTACTCTTTCATATAATGTACACATGCTGTGGAATACTGAACATTTGCATATCCCAGCATGTTCTACTTTTTATGCAAATTTCAGATTTGATGTGTGATTCTGTCATGGTGTAATGATTCAAATGGCCAACAGCTACAAATAACAGTTCATTACATATAAATTTTACAACCTTGGTAAGCATTTCCAGATAAAAAATCTTCATCTGAAGAAAATACAAATTGCTGTTCCTCGAGCAGTGTTTTTTTTCAGTGCCTTTTGATATTAGACAATGATCAAACTATTGAATACACTGAAAACAATACATTCAATACAAAAGCTCTGAAAAGGACTCAGTAGTGAATGGCATTAATTGATTGCAAAAGATGCTTCCTGACCCAGTTAAAGCAACACCTCTAACAGTTTAGAAACTCAACAAATTAAAAACAGCTTAGGAAATTATTTAGGACATTACTACTTAAATAATTATTTAACTCATAATTATTAATTTAATGCAATTCTAATTCTAGAAAAGACTGGTCCAAATTCTAGAACCAAGTGCTTTTGTTAGATCAAATTGAGTCGATTTTATGTCAATTTTCGGCAATGACTCCCCAAGTCTCTGGGCTCATTCCAATGAAGGCCAGGAAAACACTAAAATTATCATAAAAGGCACAAGGATTTTTATGTGCTGTAAGTTTTAGAAATTATATTAAGAAGTGGAATATTCCACAGATATACTTTACACTTATTGTTTTGGGCAGTATGCTAATATCCCATGTTACGATTGCCCTGTTTGTTAGTGATAAAGAATGAAAAAAAAAAAAAAAAAAAAAATTGTGCTAAGTTTAAAGCTTATTTTAAAATAAGTTTCATTTCTCAGCTTGATGTGTAATTAATTTAGCCACTGTTATGGATTTAAGCACCCAGCAAGTATCTGACCTTTGGAGGGTAAGAAAAAGTTTATTTTGAATGTAGTAGTTGATTAAAATTGGCAAAATTGATTCATAGCTGTAATCAGAAAGAAAATAAATATTGGAAATCAAAGGAAAAAAACTTGTTTTCCTATTTGGGTAAGAAAATGTTCAACACATTGCAGAAAAATGTGTGTAGCTACTAAACATATTTTCCTGATAAATGAGCAAGAGCAAAAAATTACTTCTTTGTGTTTATTATAAATGTGCGAAATGTGAAAAAATGAACACGTGAAAAAAATGTGTGTAGCTACTAAACATATTTTCCTGATAAATGAGCAAGAGCAAAAAATTACTTCTTTGTGTTTATTACTATGTGATTTTATGAATTAAGAAATGTGAAATATTATTAAATTACTTCAAACACTACTTTCTACCCTAAATCTGGTTTACTACTTTTAAAGATAATATTTATTACTTTTCAATCCTCTTCAGCTCCAATATGTGTCTCCTACTAACAAGAAATTAGCCACCCCTTTTTACTGCATTGTCTTCTTCATATAAATGCAATTTTATATACTAATTCCAGCTATTACATTATAAAGAATTTAGTCTACGGAAAAGTCACTTCATGTTCTCATTATGCTGCCAGAGTATAACTTTGAAATTTTAAATGAAAAAACTGAGAATGCAAATGTCCTTTTAAAACAAATGCTAACAAAATGCAAAAAAGAAAACTCTATTATAATACAGAAATAAAAAAACTGCAAGTAACTTCTTTTCTTGATATTTTCTGTCACATTGCAAATACTAAGTAAATCTTTCATTTTCTAAAGTATTAATCCTAGAAATGATTTCCAGTTACAGAAGTTTTTAAAACAAGATAGAGAAAGTTATCAAAATAAATTCAATTATGTATATAAAAGAAGTCTATAAATATAAAATCAAATATTGTATATGGTATCGGTAGCACAAAAATTCCAAGTAAAATATTCATTATGCCTAATCATGTATATATGCATGTATGTAGGTGGGTACCTATATATTTATTTAAACACATAAATATGGCTGACAAATTCACAAAAATATTCAAGAATGAATTTTCTGACTTAGATACCATTTCAATGCTTAAATTTTCAAACAAATTTAGGGAGCATTTAAAAGACAAAAATGCTTGTTCGGCAATTAATGGTTCTATATTATAAAATTGTATCATATGTTATGAAATTTGTAGCTTGCCCACTGAATTCTTACATCACATAGAATTCAATAGTAGATTCACATTTAGAATTCTCAATAGTGTGTTAAATGTTGCCACAAATTTTCCTACTTTCTATTGTCATTTCTGAATTCATCATATCAATGCATAGCTTTCTTAACAAAATGACCTGCTAATTATCTTTGTCTTTTTAACTTTATTATTAAGCATCCCTTTCTTTGCACTTACCCCACACAAAATTCAATAGCAAAATCACAAAATTTTTAAAAGCAGCATATCATTAGGATTCCTGATATAGTATTAAGTGTTGCCAAAATATTTTTTTTAATTTCCTATATCATTTCTTTCAAAATAATACATAACAATAACATTTAGAGGCAGTATCCTTTTATTTGAAAAGTAACGTGAACATGAAAGTGGTGCGGAGAAAAATGAGAAGCGAGCACATCTGGCGATAGTAAAAAATTAAAAATAGAAACATCTACATAAACCTACCATCCCAGAGTTCAGTTTTTACTATAAAAATAACCATTTCTCTCATAAAATGAGTCAATGGTTAATAATTTAACTTAAATGGGCAACACAATACCTAACAGAACTTAAAAATACACTCAATTTTCTCACCTCAGAGTATGGCCCAAACCACCAGTTTGTAGGATCAAGTTCCTTGCTCTCAAATCATCCAATAACTCAAATGCATTGATTTCAGAACCATCAATAGAAATGTCATCATCTAATGCAGGCATCTTCAAAGAAACCTGATGGTTGCCACCAACGACTTCCAGTTGATGCCATTCTCAGGAAGAACTATAGGATAAACATGAGCATGAGAATAATTCAGTTCATGTAGTAGATGCCATTGTATGCCTGAGAAATGAGCAAAATAATTGAAAATTTTAAAAAATTAATAAAAAGTGATATAACTAAATATTACTGAAATAGTGAAACCATTTTAATGCATTAAAATATTTTTTGTGCGTATGTGTGTACTTATAAATATTTATGGGGCAAGAAAATAAAAATTCAGCACTAGAAATTGATGGATGATTGTCAATCAAATGGTAACTTTAATGTACATTTTAAATTGCAACAATGTATTGTTCAGTTAATGAAGCAAAGAGAACTTGAATGATTCTTCTTTTTAGTGGCAACCAAATTGCTGATAAAAAATCTGAAATTTTAACAACTGTTTCTATGCAGTGGTTTTATTGTTATATATAAAATACCAGCATTTAGTTACTTTCTTCAAGTGTCTTCTCATAACAATGAAGCAGGAAATGAAATAAGAACTGGATAATAACAAAAGCCTTCATATGCAGAAAAGGTTTCATTCACCTTTTTTGTATATTATATGCACAATGAAGTGCATATGCATATCTACACAATGCTATTCATCCCTAAGGATAAATATCATTATGCAGATATTCTGGTACTGCTGCCTCATTTTTGAACATGTGAAGATATTCCCATAGGATATGCACAAGTGTAAGTTTAGCATCTTGAAGCAATTGCTAAAAATCCTGATCATTTAAGAAGCAATCTTGAATGATCATGATCTTTGTAGTCTCAGCCATAATCATGTGTAGCCAATAACACTAAACCTTAGTTCAGGTGATCACCTAACTACATGAGCAATCCAGACAGGGCGCCTCATTTAGTTGACTCTTTACACCTGATTAGATAAATTGTGACTACTTATTTCTTTGTACAGACTTCAGAAGCCAAAGAACTGTGATAGTACCACATCCAACAGCATGCCACTGTATCAGCATCTGCCTTCTACGAGTTGTAGAACACAATGACTGGTTCATTGATGAATGGAAGCAAGTGGCATGCAGGTATGAGTCTTGATTCCAAATGCATTAAGCTGACTTTAAGGTTAGAAATACGGTACTATCCTTATGAAAGCCAAACTTCCAATGTGCCAGTCTGAAAATGGACAAGGTCATGATGATTGTGATGATTCAGTGATGGTTCGAGACAGCTTCCTTGACAATGTTTGGGATCTTTGCTATTTGAACCAACAAGTATGTGAAACTGCTCAAAAGTCACATTTCTTATCACTTTTCTGCTATCTGGATGAAAATAGAGTGTTCCAAAAAGACAATTTCTCTCCTGAGGAGCATTTTACAGAATTCTCTTTTCTGAAATGGCCACCAAGAACCCAAACTTATTAAATGATTTGGTATATCTTGAAGGAAGAGGTGCGATCCAATCATCCAACATCACAGTGTTCTTAATTCATTCATGGGAAATCCTAGATGTTTGGCACGGCTTACCCCTGAAACATTTCTGCTGACTTTTTGAAAGTAAGCCTCAGCATGTGATAGACATTGTCAGGGTTAACAGAGAAATAACTTATTACTAATCAAGTATCCCTAATACAGTGACACTTCAGCAGACATGATTACGTGAATACTATGTATAATATTTTAATAATTATAAATGCATTACTTAATAATTTTTTTAAAGTAAAGGAAGAATGGCATTATGTAAAAATAATGGAATAACTCAAAAACATTTTCAAGCATTTAAATAATATCTCATGTAATATTCAATTTGATAAAACATATTTACCACCATTTGTAGAAAATTGTAAGTATGCACTGTTGTTCCTAGAAGTTGCACCAATGCATGCCAGATTGTCTCCATATCTTCCAATTCGTACAATAAATCTGATGAATCAAAAAAAAAAAAAAAAAAAAAAAAAAAAAAAAAAAAAAAACCATTAAACATATTTTATTACAAATGAAATAGATTTTATGTTCTTATGCAAGATCATAAAAAAGGTAATGCAGTATTCAGAATGATGATGTCCACTTTCAGTCAGTGGAAGTTGAGCTGAAAAGGAAAATAAATTACTTTTAGCCAAAAATTGTCTCCCACGTAAAGAAAAAGGTGCAAGTAACCAAACACTTAGCAACTTTGGCCTGGACTTGGCAGTTTTCCTCTTCTCCAAGTTATCCATATGAACAACTTTACCTGAATGTCTGCTTTTCTCAGTTTTTTGCTCATTTGGTCAAAAACTGTTAAATTTGGCATATTAATGGACAGTAATTCTTTCTTTGACAGAACAGTCAAAAATCTCTAAAATACAATTCATATGAATTTGATCATATTTAGAATAAATTTTAGTTTATAATTAAAATTAAAGAAATACGTCTTAAGTTTGGCTATAGTATTTCAAGCAAGAAATTATCCAACAATGATGAGATACATTTATATGAATTTGAGATAGATTAACTGTATCACTTGTCAAATTGTTGTCACCAAATATTAGCATCCTGTATTATTTTTAAAGAAATTAAATAAAGAAGGATCTACATGAATTTATGCATGTTTCTTGCATTGTGAAAAAACAACCGTAGAGCAATCAAATATTGAATAATGCAGTCCTCCACCCAAACATGCGCATCTGGAAGTCCAAAATTTGAATTTGTTTTATTATCTATTTCATGTTTTACAAAAATTTAATATATTTTTGGTTAACAGACTCAATGATTTCAAACCAAGCAGTGGCAACACCGTATGAGTTTGGTGTTTGGCTGCTTTTAAATATCTTGCGATTTTGCTGTCAAATTGAATTTAATGTGGTAAAAGTGAATACTGATATAGAGCTCATATAATAAACTGAGAAAAGACTGAAAAAAATTGAAAAATTGCAGAATGTATTCCTAATATATGTCTTTTATGCTGTCTCAACAGTTAAAGCCCATTCTATAAACAATTTGCTCAAAGTCCAGAAATGAATTTTCTGGTCTTTTATTAATATTTCAACAATTTAATGTATTTTATGCATTTTGAAATTATAATATGCATAAATATACTATGAAAAACGAAGTTGATGATACGTATAAACAAGCATCATAGCATGATATTTGAATTATACATTTAACTTAGTTATATATTTAATTATACAAATTAAACTACTGCTTATTATAAAGAAAACTATATTTAAGGAGGCAAAGAGTTGCATGTGGCTGTTCAGTTTACTGGAGGAAATTTTGATGAATTATAAAATTTCTGACCACACCCCAAATTATGATAAAAACTTAACAGTGCTTTGTATTTTCAGTTTGTTTGTTTAATAGTTTTTATGGGGAAGCACAATATTCTTAAAGTGAAGATGCCTTAATGGAAGACCTTTTAAGGGAAACTGTCTCCCATTCACATTACACAAGGAGAAAAGTAAGAAAATGTCCATGTAGCCAGTTAATTTGAGAGCATCGCATTTTCTGAACTGACGAAAATTTTAACAAACTGAAATGAAATTTCAGAAACATTTTCCTAGCAAAATGCGTAAAAGAAAAATTAATCTTATCCCTTAGACACATTTTTTAGTAACTTTGCTACTCAGTCATTTGAGCAGCTTTCTCATTTTATTGGAATGTTTGTATAATTAATCAAACATTTTATTTTGTGTTATATTCATATTTTACATATTTTTCATTTAACATTTCATATATTTTTCGCTTTTTCCCATGAAAAATGAGTTCAAATCAAAATTCCAAATTGTCTCACATGTTGAACTCACAATATGATCTCACAAGCTTTTGAGATTATATTTTAATACTATTTATAATGTCTTTAAAGCTTTAACTATTCTAATTAATGCTGATTGCAATTTATGTATCTAACACAGAAATATCAAATATGAGATTAAACTACAAAGTCAGAATGTAGCCATTTGCCATGTATGTTATGCTTGCTGTTTCATTTCATTTTAAAATAATAATTTAGAGGTATATGCATCAGTGAAATTTTTTTTATAATTTATCCTATGAAATTTAATTAAATTAAATAACTGCAAATTAAAATGAAAGTACTGTCTTCCAGGAATAGAATTTGAATTTACTGTTGTCTAATCATTTTTTAAAATAGTATGTTGAAGACAGAAATCTCAAGCTAGCTGAATAAACTAATTACTTTTAAAACTTATTAAGGAAGAGAGTTATTTATAAATCCATGCATTTTTTCTTTAATTTGTCTAGATTCTTTTTAAATCAAAATTATATAGAATAACATGTTTAATTTTTCCTCTTCAAGTAAGAATGCAAGTAAAATGCAAATAGAAGAAAACACAAATAGCCTGCTCTGTAGATGCTAAAAGTTAGTGCTGTTAATTAATATGCAAAATTTGGCAAATAGTTGCCAAATATAAGCCAGTTGAAGACATGCAACTTAAGCAAAAGTTAACACCCAAGTAAGACAGGTAGAGATGCAAGATAGTTTCTCAATGGAAAGGTATTATTTACTTGCAACCTGCCTCATTTCCCTTTCTGTGTGTGGGGGGAGGGGGAGAAATTTCTGCTCTGAGTATACTAATTTCCCTTTCGGCTAATCTTCCACTGACTGAAAAGACACCAAATCATTCAAAATATCTCACCAATGTTCAGAAAAAATATGTTTTCTGTAATATGCAGAAACCGGTTTATTTGATTATGACAAAGCATGTCTATGTGCATATATCCCAAAACTAAAGAAACAATTAGAAATAAAATTAATCAGTCCATTTTATAAAAAGAGCCATAAAGAAAAATTGTTACTTAGTGTTCGGTGTCTGAAAGAGTATTGCTTGGCAGCATTGTTTTACGCCAAGCAGAGTTTGGCTTTAGTGTAACCCTAAAGTTATTTCGTTTTTGCCTTATTAGTATGTATGATTTTTGACTTGATGTGGGAGCATATGGTTGTTCGCTTTTAACTAAGTTACATAGGTAACTATAAGCACATGCGTGTGCTAGTATTCAATAATGTTGTTTTTGTTAAAATAAATTTGTTATTGTTAATATTACAGTCCACTTACTGAAGTTAAGTTTCATTAAATAAGTTGGAGCTATCTTCGGCAGGAACAGCATCTCATAAATCTAAATCAACTGCCTCCAGAATTCTTGGGCCTGGACCACAGAAAACAACAGCAGTATCTTCCACAAGAACAGAACACAGGTATGCTATTCTTCCACCTACTACATAATTGCAATATGTTGGATCAAGACTTGCTTCATGGAAACTTTCTTTTAGAAATGTCTAAAATAAAAGAAATAAGAATAATAAATATTTCCACCTTAAATATACAATGAAAGACACAGTATTAATAAACATTAATTCCCTTTTGTATACTAAATTTTTTGATGAAGCAAGTTCTAATCAGATTCAGCAAAGCCACACAAATATTTCCACAAAAATAATTATTATGTTACTATTATTTGCAGGTAAACAGCCTCAAATATTTAAATAAAGCATACAACTAAGAGGTCCATGATGAGTAAACCAGGTGTAATTATGAGGGTAGTGTGCGAGTTCATAATAAATTTACGTATAATAATTTTTATCAGTTTTTATTTATTTACGGTGTCAATTACGATTTTAAAATAACTGTGTTTGTCTTATTGAATAAAATTCAGGTACACAAATAAATGATTACGACAATGCATGCAAGGATTATCCAGTCCTGGATGCTTCCTTTTATTTAGCACTTCTTAAATTAAACTCATTCATGTTTGCAACATACAGAGAGAAGTACATGAGGAAAGCAATGAAAATATTCACACAGATAATATTTGAACTGAAATAGAATGAACTGCCAATGTACAATTACTTTATCCACTTGATTTATGACACATAAATAAATTTGTGTTAACAGTTGAATATTCATCCAGAAAGTTGTATTTGTCAGCAATTTTCAAATGTATTTTATTTTTATTGCACGCAAACATTTGGTCATGAACCTCAGTAGTAATTTCTGCTTAATTAATTTATTGCGTTCATACATGTACTGAATTACAAAAGCCCTAATATAATATATTTAAAAGAAACAGTAGACTACATATATAGTTGCTAATTTGTGATGCAATGAAACTTGTTAATAAATGATATCCTAAATAAATTTAAAATCAAAAAATTCTCATTGATGATGACTAGAAGCTTCAGTCAATTTAACAGTACAATTTTGTTCCTACAATCATAATTCTAGACATGGCAAAA